ACGAAGGTGGGTCCCAGTGGAGGAGACAGGTCACAGCAGGGGAGGACAGTTGTGGGCAACAGGCTGGCAGGGGAGGGTAGTTGGGGGCGATTGGGCCAGCAGGGAGGGCAGTTGGGGGTGATCAGGCCAGCAGGGGAGCAGTTAGGGGGTGATTAGGCTGGCACGCAGAAGTGGCTAGGGGCAATCAGGCAGGCAGGTTAATAAGCCACCAGACCTGGATTGTGAGAGGAATGTCCGACTGCTGGTTTAGTCAGACATCCCCCAAGCGGTTCCAGATTGGAGAGGGTGCAGGCCAGGCTGAGGGACACCACCCTGTACGCAACCTTTGTGCACTGGACCTCTAATTACTCTTTATAAAACATTATACAAACCCAGTATATACAACTGTCATTTGCTGGCTTCATGATCTTAGTTTTGATATCTTTAGGGAATCAATCCTCTGAGATATCATACTATCTCCAAATGTTGTGAAGGAAAAGAAGTCTCTAAGGACAAAGGGAGGAAAAAGAGAGAAAGCCAAGTAGGTTTGTTGTGAAAATGAAAATGAGACGACAAAACTTAGGAAATTCTTTGGGATTTCTTTATACAGCCTGTATTTCTTAATGTAGATTGTGGTGTACTATTGCTTTTTTTCTTAAGTGCAAACTGTAGAAGATTTCACTTTTGTTTGGTAAAGGTACCAATTTCTTCATACCTTTTCATTCAGAGCTTTAACCAATCTAATCAATGCCTGAGAGAAAGTCTAAAGGGAGAATACGTCACACTAATGAGTCCTAATATGGTTTTGTTATCTCAGTGTAGTTCTAATTTACTTCGATAAAATTTAGGAAACTTGTCCTGTATAAATTCACTTTCAATTCTAGAAAAAGTGAAACAGACAAACACAGACAGGTGTGCACAAATGCATTAAACATTCTTACTTGGAAGTATTTCAGGTAGCTTTTTATCCTATGCTTTACTCTGGCCCTTTTGCTTACCTCTACCATAGCTATTGTCCCACTAAATTGTATATGTTCAAAAATCTCTCTCCTTATTTTACATCTACCATGGTGGTGGGCATAAAGTTATAAACACTTTTTTGAATTAACTGACAAAAGGAAATGTTTACAAAATAAGAGTGCTGTAATCCCAAAAAGGCTAGAAATCTACTCATCTAAACACTGTCATTAAATTTTTTAGGCTTCTAGAAAATGTTTTACTAGATTTGAAAATTCATAAACTTTCAAAAATACCATAAACTTTCCTTTCTTCCTGTCAACCTCGTGATTTCTCCTCTACAGATACCAAACTATATCACATTTTATTTTTCATTAAGAAAATATTTACTGAACACCTACTTTGTGCTAGGTATGTTGCTTAGTGGAAAGGCTACATTAATGAGGTCAGACAATAATACTCCCAAAGATCTAAAACATATAACATTTGAAGCAACTGTACATTTCTGAGGTGATTCTTTTTTTACTTTCAAATAAGAAAATACAGAGAACAGTAAATAAGGTAACTAACAGTTGTATATCCACCTATGTTCATATGTCTGATCTTCCTATTAGACCGTTGGTTCTTTGAGGTCACTGATGCTTTGTCTTGTATCTTGTGTGCCTAACACAAAATTGACACATATGGGGCAATAAATGTTTGTTGAAAAATGATTCTGCAAAAAATATCACACAGCTTGAAGGTTTATTTTTACTTAATATCATGTCTTTTTTCTTACATTTTCTTCAAAGCCTCTAAAATAATCATGGAACTAAACTCTTCTGTTACAGAACTTTTTAATCCATGATATAAAACCTAGTTACAACCTAAATTAAAAAAAGAAACAGCAATAGCAACGATCAAATGTGTGTTTTTTTAAGTGAGGCTGGGGAACATGGAAGCATTGCCCACTCGTCCACAGGGGCTACTCCTAGGAACTTTAAGGTTTCAAGGAACACATATTGGAAACCACTACTCTATAAGAACATTTGTTGTGAAAAGAAATCAAGATTTTAAATGACTCAATTTTTGTAAAAAATGTATACGTGTTTCTATTTATACTGGTGCACAAAATTAGTGCACGGGCGGCTGAGGTGGAAGGGGGTGCCCTCAGCCCAGCCTGCACCCTCTCCAATCCAGGACATTCCTCTCATAATCTGGATTGCTGGCTCATGACCACTTGCCTGTCTGCCTGCCTGCCTGGTCGCCCCTAACTGCTTCTCCCCTACCCACACCAGCCTAGTCGTCTCTCATGGGCCCCCACCAACCTGATCACCCCACACAGCCTGTTTGTTCAGTCATTTGGTAGTCCCTCACTAATTCCCCTGCCGGCCTGATCATAGACAGCCATCTTGTGAGGGTGTGACAATCAATTTGCATATTACAGCTTTATTATACAGGATATTATACAATGGAGAATGGTTAGAAAGATATACATAAAAATGCAACTAGTGCTTATCTTTGAGTGGTAGATAATTTGTATTTGTTTATTGCTTGTATGCTCTTTTCCCCATGGATTTTCTATAATTAGCATGTATTATTTTTGTAAAATGAAAAATATTATTTTTAAAGTTGGATTTTTTTCTCTATAATACATTTTCCATATCCCTTTATTTCAAATGGCATTTTAAAGCATTAACAATTCTTTCAGTATATGCTCAACTGGAGAAAGATGTTTTTCATTTTACAATCAAGGAGATATTAAAGCCCAGGTAAATGGACTTTTACTGGCAAGTTTCTCTGCACTCTTAGTATAGATTTTCTTCCTTTTTATTTTATTTTATCAATTTTCTTTATGGTAGGCTGTAGGTATCTCACTAAAAATACTTTATGCTGATTTCTGCATCATTTCACATGCTGTTCAATTTCTGTGAAATGTTCATCCTTTATTCTTCAAATGGCTGAATCATTCTGTCTTCAGATCTCAGGAAAGATTTTCAGAGATCTGTGACTGTACTGAGTACTCTCAATCATTTTACTGTTTCTCTCCTAGCATTTCACACAATTTAAATTATATATTTGTTCATTTATTTATTTCCTGTTTCACCAAAACTGAAATTTCATAAAGGCAGAGAGGCCTATTATTGTCAATATATTACACAACACCTAGCATAACACCTAGCAATTGTCCATAAATATTTGTTTATTTATGGACAATTGACTGAATGATTGACTAAATGTTTGCTAACATTTGAATCTGGGGACTCAAGTGGCTTAGAATTGCTTTTCCCACACTTTTGCCTAGATGGATTGGCAAGCTGCTGTTTTCAATACAGTCCAAATTTCTGATACTATACAATAAGCCAAAGTCACACTAATGGGGTACATTTTATAATGGCTGTATCATCTGATTCGCAACTCAAAAGAGGCAGTAGGTCTGCAGACATGTCTGCTGCAGGACAACTGATCCTCGCTCACATAGCTTTTGGAGAATAAACATTCTATAACGCAAAATGTGTATTTGCCACTTCAGTATTTTCTAAAGCTTCTTCCAGCCTCACCCATGAGTGCTAATCTCAATTTACTGATATTTATTACCTGTCATTCCATAAATACTAGTATACTGACATGTAGCCACTGAATTATAAACCCTTTTTATCAGGAATCTGAACAGTGTGAGCTACTATTTTGGGCACAATTTAAATAACAGGGAATCCAACAATGGCAAATCAACAACCTCAGAAGAGTTCTTGCAACTAAATGGAAAATTTAAAAACACCAAAACAAACAGTGTAAGAAAAATAACTATAGAAGGTACCAAATAAGCATAGAAGACATAGCATTTTAAATACTTCCAACTATTTGGTTTCAAAGCATAAATGAAACATGTGGGCTTTCCACATTTTTTTCTGCCAAGTACCAGGAAAAACTGACCATACTATGATCATCTAAAATAGCTGTTAGGACTGATCTTCAAATATTTGGTTTCAAAATATAGATCTATTTGCCCTTTAAAACTCAGATGCCTGCACACTACCACTACAGCACTGCACTGAGATAATACTTTCAAAAAAAGCTGCTGGCAAATGAGATCTTTATTCACGGTAAGAACTGCTTCAAATGGACACAGCAAAATGTTAACCTAAGTCCTAAAGTCAATTGTCAAAAAAAAAAAAAAAAAATTTGTTCTGGCACCAAAATGCTTTTCTTTTCTTTCTTCTTTTTTAAAGACAGGGTTAATCTCACCAGTTATTCAAGGTTAAGGTGAGAGGGTAAATGCGATATGTTAAGATTCTAGAAGCAAGAAAAAAAAAAAGTTTATATCCGCTTCACTTAAAATTGTTGACTTCCTTAAACTAAGTTTCTTATTGAACATATTGTTCTTGTGGATACTCAAATATAAACTATCAAATATGCCTTACTTTGGGCTGCTGGACAGTCCAACCCACAGAAAAGGATCTTAGTCTAGAAATAAGTCAAGTGGTTTAAAATAACTGTTCCCGTACTCCCATGTAGTTATGCTTGTTTCCTAGGACTGTACGAGCATGGATATCTAGTTGTAGTCCTCCACTTCTGATTGTTATCTAACACTCTAAAGTAACACTCTAGGAGACTGGGATGATATGTGATACAGCCTCTTACTCTTTTGAGCAGACATTAATTCTGATTGATCAATGTCAACTGGCTTGATTTGTCTTAATTTTTAAAACAGCCACTGAAAATACCTATACCTTTTTAAACAACATTGTTTTGCTTTCCTTAAAATTTTACAATTTAAACCTTATTCCTGAAAGAGGCATTCTTAAAAAAAAAAAAAAAAAAGACACATGATAGTACAACTCAGAAAAGGAACTATATTTGGCTTCTTAGAAATAGTGGTCCATCTTCACCCTTATTCTTCTCATTAGTTACACAAATGGAAAGAGTAAGACTTAAAATGGCTAAGAAATTAATTCTGAGTCATACAACTGGGGAACTCAAATTTTTTTCCATTTCCCGACTTCGTATTCCTCCCGTGCAGGCAGCTCTAAGGATGCCCCAGACAAATTAAATCCCACAGTAAATAAAACCCTTCTTAACCTTACCTCTTTATGCACCTTCCAACTGTCTACTGTCACATTGAAGAGAGCTTTGAGGGCCTCAATGGCACAGTCTGTCTCCTGAGGTGAGAGAGGAGGTCCATTATGGTCTATGGCCGATTCATACTCATCGGTCCACTTGATGCTAAAGGCACTTTCCAAGATCTGGGTTAGCAGCGGTAGTCCCTGGAGCTCATAGCGCAATTGTGACCTGATGTCAGTGTGCAAAAGTGACAGGACGAAGAGCAAGCGCAAATCAAAGCACTTTATGTCATTGATAAACTTCCGGTCCTTGCACTTTCTCAGGAGGTTACAGAGCTTTGCCGCAAGGTTAAGTTCCAGGCTGAGCTGCTGTGCCATCTGACTGTTGAACACTATGTTACACAGACATTTTAATGACTCCACAATGACTGGGAACTCGGACACCTTCTCCAAAGACTCATCCAACTCATTCAGCTTCGCTAGTCGCAGCAGTATCTGCATATTTTCCTTGGTTGTTACAGGAACTAAAATCTTTTTGTCTCTGGAGAGAATGCGGAGAACTTCCAGGCAGGTCACTTGACATGTTGTTGGGACGTCCTTCACAAGGACTTTAAATATCCCTTCGCAGAGTTTCTGGAAAACAAGATTGAGAATGCAAAAATCATTATTTGGCTTAAAACAGACTGTTTCTCTACCAATGTATTTAATAGCAGCTCAAGATCTGACTAGAAAGGCTTTTATTATTTTTAAATAAAAAAAAAAATGTTAGAACTGAAAGAGACCATATATTTGGTATACTTCTTTCATTTTATAGATATGGAAATTGAGAACTAGAGAGATTATCTTGCTTGTACTGAGCTAGAGTAAATTAGTGGGGAAGAGCTAGAATATGGATTTCCTAACTTCCAGCCAATATTCTTTCTATAAAATCACTATTCTCTTTTAAGTTGATTAGTTTTAAATTTCTCAAATAGCTTTGTTCTCAATGGAATTTTAATTTCAGACTACATATAGGTAATATCAGGATATAAGGCAATCAGTCTGAATCATAGCTGTTCCCTTCCCAAAAGTAAAGATTAATGCCTCGAGATTTGGTTCACAATTGCTCACAAGTACAGGTTCTCGTAAAAGACTTTAAAAAAAATCTCCTTTTTTTCTGCCAAATGTTAGCTGTGATATTTCTCCTAAATTTAGAATTCTATGTCAGTAGTCCCATGTTTTGTAAACCTTAGAACTCTCTTTAGCTAACATGTAATAATATTTAATCACTGAGTGACACCAGAAAGATCTTTTGCAGGCAAAACTGCTAAAATTATTGTAAGTTTGGTTGGTTCCAAAGAGGTCTTAGTTAATATATATGATGCCTTTGAGCCAAACACAAAAAGGCACCACTCTCTGGGCCAGATAACTGTAAAAGAGTGTCCCTACTGGATGAATAAAATTTTAAAAAGCCCTCTTCCTCTGGTAGCCCTGTGCCAGCACACATGGCTTGGGAAGCTCAGAGTGTGGGAAGATCTTAGTTCTCCTTTGTTCTCTCAGTGCAGAGCACAGAAGGGAGGGAGGGAGACACACAGAGATAAATATTAATGTCAGAGAGACACATTGATTGGTTGTTTTCTGCACACTCCAAACAGTGTGCAGAAAGGGCGTGCAATTCAGGTACATGCCCTTGACTGGAATTAAACCCACAACTCTTCACTGCAGGCTGCCGCTCTACCCACTAAGCCAAATCAGCTAGGGCAGTACCCATTACATTTTATAAAAACAATAGCAATAACAACTATAACCAATATAAAATTTTACAAAGTTTTTATTAACCTATCATCAAACTTTAACTCTTTAAATAAAAAGGGCTCTCTACCGGTCAAGCATTGTGATTTTGGCAGGAATCCCAGACTATGTGCACCTGCTCAGTAGATCCTAGTCATACAGCTCAGCTATGGAAATTAAGCTAATTCAAAACATACTAACTCTGTAACTAGAAGAGGAAGGAAATTAACCTGACAAGCTAAAAAAAAATGTTTGTAGCAATATCAACTCTATCCCTGCCATACCGGATCACTAACAGGGTCTTTCATTTAATGTTTTAATATCATTGTTAAATCATTTTTTAAAATGAATGCAGTTTTGGGATAAGATAAAGAATAATGTGCCCATTATTAAAAACTAGAGGCCCAGTGCATGAAATTCGTGCACGGGTGTGTGTGTGTGTGTGTGTGTGTTTCCCTTAGCCCAGTCTGCACCCTCTCTAACCTGGGACTCCTTGAGGGATTTCTGACTGCACATTTAGGCCTGATCCCAGTAGGCCCTCCCTGCCAGCCTGGTCACTCCTAACTGCCCTCCTCTGCAGGCCTGATTGCCCACAACTGCCCTCCCCTGTTGTCATCTTGTGGTGGCCATCTTGTGTCCATATGGGGGCATCCATTTTTGACCACATGCGGTGGCCATCCTGTGTGTTAGAGTGATGGTCAATTTGCATATTACCTCTTTATTATACAGGAGGATATTTAAATCAAGAAAATTCTTCTCCAATTTCAGATCTTTCACATCCAAGATCACCCCTCCTAAAAAAAAAACCTCACTCTACATATGACTTCTTATATGTTATATTCCTGGTGCTATATTCAAATAACCTTTACTCCCACATAATTTTACTTAAGAGAGAAACCATCTACATACATATTTAAGAAATATATAATAAGGTATCATAAAATACTATATATATGAATTTGGAGTTCTGCATACCTTCCTTTCTAAACCAAAACAACTATGAAAAATTTAGGGGCAATATAGCTCCTTTCTTCCTCTACTGTCAGACTCGAGAAAGAAAAAGAGCAAAGCATGAATATAAATTAGAATAGTTAAGGCTATAAAACAAATGAACTGTGACTCTCTGGGACATAAGACACTTACATGAAAAAGATTAGAGGTCCCTACAAAATTTATAATTAAAAATTGCCTCATCTGAGGGCTAATAGATCAACTAGCAACCAAAGATAAGAATTCTAGTTTTAAAGCTGTTTTCAATTAATCTCGTTTTAAAGCACAGTTTTCTTAAACATGCCACTTCTCATTACAGACTTGCCTCACACAATGACTAATAAGTAGCTTTTTGCTATAATGTCTCTTCAAAAGTAATATTACTTCTTGGACAATGGCATGCTTCCCCTTCTTTTGTATTGTAACTTAAAATAAATCAAAGACATACTCAAAATATAAAAAAGGTGATATTTAATACAGTCACTGCTTTATTCAATACAATCATTTATATTCAGAGAACATTATAAAGAACAAAGTAATCAATCATCTACCACATTTGGATGAATCAGAAAAGTTTTCTTTGTACATGTACACCATGCAAGATATTTTTATTGATTTCAGAGAGGAAGAGAGAAGGAGAGAGAGAAAAATCAATGATGAGAAAGAATCATTGATTAGCTGCCTCCTGGATGTCCCCTACTGGGGATCCAGCACACAACCAGGCATGTGCCCTTGACCAGAATCAAATCCAGGACTCTTCAGACCACAGGCTAATGCTCTATCCACTGAGCCAAACCGACTAGGGTGAAGAGATAGTATCCTATATAATCCTATATAATGAGAGGAAAATGCTAATTATCCTTTATGCCATGAGGTGTGATACCGACTATATAACAACTGGATCAGGGATCAGCAGGAGGGTGGGGCAGCAAGCTACAAACAGGCAGCAGAGAGCTACAGGAAGGGTCAGGGCAGCAAGCTATGAGGGGGGCTACAGGAGGGCGGGGCAGAGGGCAGAGAGCTACAGGAGGGTGGCAGTAAGCTACTGTCACACAGATTAGTGCACAGGGCTACTAGTTTTTCATAATTTCTCCAAATTTGAGTGTGCACATTGCTTTTTTTAAAAAGATGTTCTTATATTTTGCCCTAAGAATTTTTCTGTGCTATGATTTTTCCCCCCATTGATTTTACTCTCCTTAAAACATGCCTTGTTCTCTTCAAAAACTTTCTATAGCTCATTGTGCCCACAGAATTTAGCTGTAATGAGCCCAGCATCTTCTTTCCTACTGATGTCTGTCACAAACCCCTTCCTTTTCTTTTCCAAGTGCTCCAAACTGAGTTCCAAGACCCTAACCCTATGTCTTGAGCCATTTCCCCTGCCGTTCCTTCAGCTTGGCATGCCCTGCCACCATGTCTGCCATTCTGAACTCCACTCTTTTTCTAAGGCTTAGGTCAAGTTTTGGTAGGTCTATAAGCCTCCCCATCCACTTCCTCCTCTGCTTTCTTTCTGTTTGTGCCTGCAACAGCATTTAGTTTTTGTCTTTTTTTTAGAATGAGCTGTTGGGGCATCTTACTCCTTCTCCAGACCCTTGGAGAACAGAGGCTCTGTTTCACTGTATTCCAGTGACTGGTCCAGGTGTGCTAAACTATTTTTAAGTGCAAGAAAACCACAAACTCCCAAAGTTACCTGCCTTGAAGTCTACCACCTGACTCTCCAGCACTTTCCAAAGAATGACTCCTTTGTATTCCTTCACCAGCCACCACTCACTATCAAATCTTCCTTTGTTTGCAAGTACAGCAGACCATCATATTTTAGGTAAAAATATTTTTATTTACTTTCAAAGTATTCATTTCTAAATTTGTTTTCATTGTTCAGCTGATATATTTTTTAATCTAAAAGTTACTTTGGTATTACAGATAATCATGAAACACATACTTTTTCCCATTAAAATCAATAAAAATATTTTCTGATATTAATAACTTTTCACTTAGAGGTCAGTTTTTTCAGGAATGAACTAAAGTCATAAATCAAAGGTTAGGTATACTTATAAAGTATAATTAGTGAAAGTCAAAGAGTCTGAGGAAAGGCCCTTTAAATATGCTCATTAACTTAGTAATGGCTATTTCTATAAAGTTAGAGTGTAAGACCCAGCAGCCTACACTTAAGAGTAAGGTACCAAATTGTTGGTGGACAACTATCAGTTTTCATCAGAAGGCCTACTAATTAAACTAAGTCTTACATAAGCTGAAACCGGTTTGGCTCAGTGGATAGAGCGTCGGCTTGGGGACTGAAAGGTCCCAGGTTCGATTCCGGTCAAGGGCATGTACCTTGGTTGCGGGCACATTCCCAGTAGGGGGTGTGCAAGAGGCAGCTGATCGGTGATTCTTTCTCATCGATGTTTCTGACTCTCTATCTCTCTCTCTCTTCCTCTCTGTATAAAATCAATAAAATATATTTAAAAAAAATAAAATAAACTAAGTCTTAGATAAATATATTTATGAGGCTTTATATTATTTTCTCATTACTCTGAAATCTGAGTTAGTCTTACTACTTTGGTTATCTAGTTGAAAAAAACTTATATGGGATAAAATGCATTCTCTAGAACAGTGCTTCTCAAACTATTGTGACAAAGGACCACATTTTTGTTCCTTTTTTTTGTTTACTTTCCCATAATTTGCAGTAGAACAGTACTTTCGTAAAATACAATAAAAGTGAATCATTAAGATAAATAATCACATCCTTGGCTATCACAGCAACATTAAGTTACTATAAGGTTTGCTACTAGACCACATAGAAACAGGTACATGAGTTGAGAGCAGTATAACAAATTTAGAATGTGCATTTAGAAACCATTAGGAGAAAATAAGTATAT